GCTGTATAGAGTGTAGCACTGTTGAATCAGCTACAATTTAATTTACTAGCTAAAGTCTAAGTTACAGGCTGACTTCAGGTCTGGTTTAGATCATGGTTACTTATAAATTATATATTTTTTTCTTATATATCTGCTGTTTTACATGATTGTTGAATGAAATTAACATAATTATTAATTTATTGTAAAAACATGACCGATAATCTGTGAAACAGATCTGGTTCAGCTTGATGTTTATCTGTTAGTTTCTATGGAGGCTGTGAGCTGTTTGGTCTGTTTCTGCTCCTCCATGCTGTCACTGAGGCTAACAGTGGACCGTATGGGCAGGGTTCAGTCTAGTGTTTTTATTCAAGTCTATGGTCCTGAACTACAACCAGCAGTATATTAGTCAGGAGCTCTGTTAGAAAAACACTTATTTGTGGTAACAAACCCACCAAGGCTTTAGATTTGATGGTGTGGTCTGGGCGCTTTCGGCTGCAGCAGTACTTCATCGCTTTCCTCGCCTCCTTATTGAAGACGATGCGGAAAAAGAAAACGAACGGACCCTGGAGTCGCAAAAGACCAGAAGAGAGAATATCGYTAAAAATGACCTGAAACAATCCAATCTGGTGTCCAACAGCGATGAAGAGCCCTCACCTGCACACAGTTAAATCCTGCAAACAGGTAGTGGAAGATGATCATGTCGCTGTTGACGGAGAGAAGAGCCAGAAAACACGTGACGGAAACCAGGAAGAGGACGCCGCCTGCCGTCTTCAGGCCTGAGCTGCAGGAGAAATGTCACAGACGTGTTAAAGGAGGTGAGCCCTGAACTTCTACTGATCCATGGACAAAGGCTAAATAACACACTGAAACCCTGCAGGCACACTGAAAATTAGTGCAAAAACAGCAGCGAAACATCCAAATAAAAACCGTAAAAGTCCTTCAGAGAGGTAAACTAATCCTCGTGTTRGTAACGTGAACCACGCAGCTCGGTGTTCGGTGGGTTCGACTCACAAACGAGGCTCCTTCTTCTCGATGCTGAGGTGTTTCAGTGAGCAGGAGGCTCTGGAGGACAGGATGTACAGGAAGATGTTCATCTGTGGAAACAACAAGGAGCTACATCAGCACCGACGCCACCAGCCGACAGCAGATTCAAACACGTCGCTCTGGTTTAGACTCACAGACACCACCACGGCGATGGGTCCGGCGAAGCTCCAGATCAGAGTGTCGTACATCGACAGCCAGCAGAAGTCGGGGTTACCGTAACCTTCAGGGTCCAAACCCACCGCCAGACCTGGAGACAGAACAACAACAAAAGAGCTGATATATATAAAACCTCTGGAAGCAGTGAAGTCACTGATGATTATTAATGTCATCTTTCATGTTTGAACAAACTGGCTTCATGGTTTTGACAGCTCTAACTTTAAAAACTGCACGGAGGACTTTATTTCAGTGAATAAAACACAGAACCCTGGGCCTCACGCAAGAACCGTTCGTACGCACAGATTTGTTCTTAAGTTGTGCGTACGAGTGATTTAGGAGAATTTGTGTCATTCACCAATTTTCTCATATTCTAAGATTTTCTTCAGATACGAACATAATTCACGTGTGGTCCAGACCCTATATTTTACGAGCAGTCAGTCTGCTGTTATCAGACGGGTTTTTCTCACTAATAACTTCACATTTAATTAGTTTGAAGATATTTCAAGCTGAAAATAAATCACACTCTGTAATTATGTTGACAATAGGTTATTCTGTTTGAACTGGAATTAGAGTTTAAATG